CGCAGCTCCGTGTGAATGGATACATAGAGCAGTGGGTGCCCTCATAGCAAGCTGCTTGCTGTGGGAGCACCCGACAGAAGGGAGGGGCCGGGAGCGTCAGCGGGGGACCCGAGAAGAGTAGGATCCGGGCTGCTCTGTGCAAAACCTCTGCATACAGCAGGCAAGATTAGATATGTTTGTTATTTTTTTTTAAAATAAGCTTTTAGAATCACTATGAGTTAAGACATACATCCTAAGATAAACCTGAACAACATTAGATTGCTTATTAGCGCGTCATGATTACGTTTTGTGTTGCCTGTTACAAAAACCCTTTTTTGTACTTTACAGGAAAGTTTCCTAAAAAGAAAGAATAGAAGACAATTCCTGTGAAAAAAAAACAGGTAAGCATAACGAACCTGTTGATTGAAAGACTCCTGGATTACACTGGCAGTACCGCTGAGCAAATGCCTCCATCATACGATCAATCTTTTGAGCCTCCCCTGGCAATCGGAAGCTCCAGAGGAACTGGCTGTGAAAACAGAAAAAAAACTGTTATATCAAGTATCAACAGAATAATTGAACAATATTTCCCCTTCTAAAGCTGTATGCATGATGACCCCAACTTACCGAAGTGCCTGAACTAAGTTGAGGTCTGTAAATTCATGAAGTTCCACAAAGGCATGCAGTATGCGAATGTTAAAATCATCTCTGCAGAAGATAACGTGGTTAGCAACGATTTACTGATCAAAAGTTAGCTAGTACTGGATTGCTGGCATTATTCTACAATCTCCAAATACCTAATAGTGTATTAAAAAACAACATGATTATTAACCCATATTTGATGGGAGTTCCAAGACTCTTCGAATCCATTTATTCCTGTCCAGTTTGTTGAGGTGCCTTATGTCACACATTAATGTGTGTTGCAATAAGCTTGTCTATTTGTTTAAATGAGCTGCTCCAATGCACCACAACACTTAAAAATGGACATATGCACCTTTATTTATGACACTGCGCACCACAAAACATGGTATTGCTTTACTGCGTGTTTGAATTGTGCTGCAACTCATGTGTATTAGAGGTGCCTCACTTCACTGCATTTAGTTGCCATAAAAGATGAATGGCAACACAGCACATGCATGGTGCATTGACATGCGTTATTGCAATGTAGGAATGTGAGCTTATTTTTTCAGTTTATTACTGCTTTTGCTTGCTGGTGCTTTATTTTTAAATATTTCAGTTTTACTGGTAGCAACTCAATAGTATAAATTAGTGTAGAAGACTTTAATTTTGGCTCTTTTGGCCAAAATGATTTATGAACTGAATATAGGATTTTTGTACTTTTTGTAAAATCCTTTTTTTTTTTAACCTTCAGGTTATACTGCCAAATAGAAGAGGATTGGACACTGGCAAATAAAACAAAAACTGTAGGCCATTGCAGAGTATAATCCCGCCCATAACAAGCATGCCTCGGTTTTGTTGCAAAGCAATATTAAGAGCATAATCCTAATCACAGAAAGGTGAGACCCATGTCCCTTAATAGGCCCTCCAAAAAAGGATAATATAATGTGGTTAAAAATCCTGTGTTTCTCAATGAGAAACAAAATAGGAAGTCATTACCCTTTAAGACCACCAAAAGAAGTCCAACTGAGGGGTGAGCAGCACAGCAAAATTGCTAGCAAACCCAAAATAAAAAAAAACAGTTGCAGCTCAAAGAGTCACCGGAAGGACCTCAAGCCCAAAGTTGAAAGCAGATCAGGCAGCAAGTCACCCCTAGTAGAGAACACATCGACAGAGGACAAGATGACAGTCTTACAAATCTGAAAAACAGTTGCCTAATGCCAAAACAAGAAGCTCACAGATCTAGTAGAGTGAGCTATAGAGGAAAGGGAGGAACCCAATCCTTGAGACCAGAAACATGAATGATTGTCTCTCAAAGCCACATAGAAACAGTGGCCCTAGAAAGGGATTATCAGTATGGCAAAAGGTAATCAGTTTTCTAAAAGCAGCAGTGGCTGAGAGATTCTCACAATCTGGATCACATTGAAATGATGGAGGAAAATGTAATTTTGCTAAACCGGAGTCAGACAAATGAAAGCAAAAACCAAAGTTCTGGGCTTCAACACCACCGTGTCCTTATACAAAGGCAAAAAAGGTTGTTTGCAAGATAGGATCACATTTACATACACTAACCTTGCAGAGGTGACAGTAACAGACACTAACCTTGCAAAGGTGATAGCTACAAAGGAAACAAACTTTGATGGCAGGAGTAGAGGTAGATATGTCTTTAACAATTCACTTCACAGAGAGAACCAGATTCATATCCCACAGAGTCACAGGGGAATGGACATAGAGAAAAACATAAGACCCCTGCAGAAAACTCATTATCAAACAGCAAGAAGTCAGTAGTCTTTGAAACAGAATGCAAAGCTCCGGAAAGACCTTTGAAGGTGCTAAGAGCCAAATGCTGGTCCTGACCCAACTGCAGGAATGAGGATTAATCCCATGAAGAAACTGCTGGAGAGAAAGCTCCTGGATTCACACAACCTGTAAGCCTTTCATGTCCAATGATGGACCATGTAGGAAGTGGACATCCTAGTCTAGAGCATCATATAAATCACAGATTTAAGAGATGCCTTTGTCCCTCAGAACATGGGCTTCAACAGCCATGTTGTTTAAACAAGGGCCTGAGCATCAGGATGGCAAATCAGCCTTGGGGCAATAGATCTGGATGGTCTAGTAGGACGCATGATGCATCTGCTAGTTTTTATTACCAAGTTGGTATAACACATGCATCTGTGCCAATCTGGAGCAAAGAGGATCATCACAGCAAGACATTTGGTTCCTCCTTGATGGTTAATTTGCACCACTGCTATGGCTTTCTGCGGTGTTAAAAAGGTACTCAGAACTCATTCCCTCCCTATCCCATCCACCTGACAGGCTGGCATCCATAGTTAGAATCTTCTAAGAGATGGAAAGAAAGGACTTTTCAAAACCAGAGCCAGAATCCTGAGCTACCAAGCAAGAGATATACTTGGATTATGGTGTCAAGCGACCTGAACTGTCCAGAGACAGGATATTTTTTTCTCCCATGAAGACAAAATCTGTGTGTTGCAGAAACTGAGCGAAGGAGTCCGTTCTAAAGCTCTCATGCAAAAGCGGTCAGATGATTTTTGGACTGAGAAGTTTGTACCCAAGAGCTAGACATCTGAAACTTCTGTCGGGAAATACTCTGGCCTAAGATGTGTTCAGCACCAGACCCAGATATTCCAAGCGATGAGTCATTTCCAGTTAAGATTTTTGAAACAGGTTAGGATCCTCCTGAATCTCTGTAATGTCTGGACAGTCAGAGATCTGTTGTCTAAAACAGCCCCCACTGCATGACCACAGTAAAAACTTCAGTCAAGCGAGCAGAGGACAGAGGACTGTACAGACTTATAGTAAATATGACTGGAGAAGTTGGTACTATCAGTAGGCAATTTGAAAGCAATCCCTGACTACCCTATTCAAGACTGGATTTAGACATGTAGCTGCCACAAAGTGGAACTCAAGTATTCACGAAAAAAGGTTTTAGTTACTCACGAAACTTGGATAGCTGGTAGCAAGTTAGGGTCTGTAACCGGATGTTGATCAGTCCCTCAGCATTAGCCCATTTCATGGGGAATAAATTACCAGTGAAACTGGGGGAAGTCCTGGAGCTCGGCCCGAGCAGACTACCTACTGACTGGATCTGAAAAGACAGGTAAGTGCAGAGGCAATGCCAGCAGCTCTGGACCATGAAAGTGCTGCAGGTTACTTAACCAAAACTAGATTTGTAAAGCACCCCACGTGGAACTCATTGCCATAAGGTCACGTTCAGGATAGCCACGTAATATACTGTTCTGCTGGTTCTAAGTGCTGCACAATTCAAAAGCCAGGTTGAGGACAAACACAAGATTGCTGCTGACTGGAGGGGAAACCTCCAGCAGAGATGTAGGGAAGAGTCTTGAGTGAAGGAAAAAAAATTGAAGAGAAAAAAAAAACAAAACTCTTGGGGAGAAACTCTTTGCTTGCTCTGATCATAGGGATAGAACTCCTAACTCTTCCCCTACTTTTTTTTATTAAAGTACACTTGCCATATGAAAAATTTGAGGATTGAATCTTTATAAATTCACCATTAGACTCCTTCTGAAAATGCTAGCTTGCTGGCTGTGTCTGACTTCAATACTTTTTAGGAACAGACCCATCACAAACATGCAGTAGTAAATGATGTATCAGAATTTCTCCTCTACACATGACCTGGGTCAGTGATATCAAGTAACAAAATGACAGCCAGTATTCTGAAAATGAAAGGCCGCAATGAAAGCACACATTATACCATTTAATGGCCCTCAAACTGAGGCCTGTTCCTCAATTTTATGATAATAATGTTTAAAGTGTTACTAAACCTACAACAGTAAAATTAATCTGTATATGCAGTAAGGCATGATTGTTATACTCACTATGGAACCTAAGGGGTTAATCCTCTGCATTATGTAAACAATCTGTTTGATCCTTTCTTCTCTGCCCCTCCCCTTGTTCAAATGTCCAAGTCTTATTTCCTGATAAGACAGACTGAACCGTAGCCACATGCACATACTCAGTTGAGTGTATTGCTAGAGAAGTTTTTTTTTTCTTTGGAGAGTGCATATGATCAGCACAGGGCCAATCAGCACTGTCCAGACAGAGGGTCAGGGGTTTTGTATCCTCCTAGAGCAGAAAGAAAACTCCTCCTACAGACTTTAACCAGTGCTCTGCTGAAGTCACAGGACTGCTCTAACTACTGAAGAGAAAATGTATTTAGTAGTTAATATTTACTAAAATAATTGCATTTCCATGTTGTGTGTACTGTGGGAGACCAGATAGAGTGAATGCAGGGTCCTGGGTTTAGTAACACTTTAATGTATTGTAATATTATATTCATAATAATTTGTACATTTTCTATATATAACACTAATTGGGAAACAGAATAAAATAAAATCTCTGAGTGCCTTTAGTCATTCATTTTACCTTTCTCCTAGGTAGTCTCCTATAGCGGTCTTATTCAGTCCTTCACCTTTGTACAAGAACTGGGCAATGCTCTCACAGGTATTTGTCAACAGCTCATTGTCGATCAAGAACTGGATGCCCTGCAGAAAGTTGAAACAACGTTGGCTCCCTGGTTCAATTAATTAATCTAGAAAAGGTTGCAGGAAATGATATTATATATACCTTTTTAGGGTCCATGTTGAATTTCTTTCTTCCCATTGCAACTTGTTTATTCTTTTGCAAGTTTTTCCTGTTGAACAATAAATTATAATTGGGACAGACGTTAGTGAAGACAAAATGGCTAAAATAAAGACAAATAATTAAATAAATAATTACAATGCATCCTGCAGTAGCACTAATGTGGATATCAGATTATCACTAATTTCCATATTTATGTTCTGTTGACATGAAAGTCAGCACTTCACTTAATACCCAGAGCCATTCTCTAATGTATCTCTGACACACACAAATAACAACACACACACAGACACACAATCTGGTCAGAAACCATGAAAAGTAGAACTCTAACCTCTCAAAAAAATTGATGCTTAAAGTGTATCTAAAAAGGCAAATTTTTTTTTTTTCCATTTGGTGGTTGGTGTGTTTTTCTTTTTTTAGGTGGTGGTGATGGAAGACATGGGGGGGGAGGGGGGAGGACTTTTTATTTTTATTTTGGATAGAGTAAGGGAGGGTTATAACCCCTGTGCCATATACTATAAAAATGAAATAACACAGAAAATTAAAAAAAAATAGATTTTATTATAAAATCTGTAATACAATTTTGCAAATAAAAAAAACCTTTCTTCATACATTTAGGCCAAAATGCATTCTACTACATTTTTTGGTAAAAAAATAACCCAAAACAGTGCATATTATTTAGTCTGTGTGAAAGTTATAGTCTACACACTATGGTATATATATCTGAAAATTAATCAATATGCTCTTATGGGGTATGAGTTGATCAACTCACTGGTATGGTGTATGGCAGTGATCAGGATGCTGGTATGGGATATGGAAGTGTTCAGGATGCTGTTATGGAGTATGGCAGTGATCAGGAAGTTGATATGGCATATGGCGGTGATCAGGGTACTGGTACGGCGTATGGTGGTGATCCAGATGCTGGTATGGAGTATGGCAGTGTTATTGTGAGCACTGGTGACAATTGACAGGGGCTGGCTGCACTATTTATTTATGCTACACTTGCAGGCAGTGTTCAGGAACACTGGGGCAGGCTGGCAGTAGTCTGTGAGCGTACATGCACTGTGACAGGCTGCTGTACACTCACAGGTTGCAGCATCAGTTCTCTCTGCTCTCACAGTGAGAGAGCAGAGAGAATTGATGTTTATTTTCATAAATAAGGATACTATACTCATGCACTGCCACAAATGAATGATAAGCTGCTGCAAGCACCTAAATGTGTTCCTGCATCAATAAAATTCCCCAGGAATAGTGCTGCTCTGCCCCCTAGTGACCCAATAAACAAATAGTAAATAAACACCCTCCTGAGCATCAAACTCAATGCGTAAATAAATAGATCAGTGAAACAAATAAAGTGAATAATTAGTAAGAAAACTAGCTGAGCCACTAAATCCAAATGCAATGTAAAACGTATACCAAAAATAAAAAACACAAGCAAGTAGCAATAAACACCTGGCCGAGCTATAAAACACCCGGCTGAGTTGAAGACTATAGTGTAAAAACCAACAAGAACAATGATAAATATGTTAACGTATATCAGATATAAAACACAATCACAGTAGCAGTAAACACTTGGCCGATCTATAATAAACAGCCAGCTGAGCTGAAGCAAAAAGCGTGAAAAGCCAAAAAAAACAGTAACAAAAACGCCCGACTGAGCAATCAGTCCCCCAATGGAATAAATCAGCGATAAATCAAGGGAATGCTCAACTGGGCTAGATATTCACAAAAAGTGCATAGTGAAAAAGATAAGCAACTACACTAAATAATATACAAAAAAAAAAACCAGATCAATAGTGAATGATAGATAGCACTTAAAGTGCAAAATGCAGTCTAAATGTGATAAAGCAGTCTCATTCCAACATTTAAAGCAGAGGTCTCCAAACTTTGGCCCTCATGGGACTTGCAGTTCCTCAACACCTGGAGGGCCATAGTTTGGAGACCTCTGCTTTAAATGTTAGAATGCACCAGTGACTTCAACATGCGTGCAAATCAATCGTGTTCCTCCACCTTCAGGCATGCATGCTCACTTTAACAGCTGACCCATAGAAAATATAGGTCAACATGCACTCAATATGAATCTCCCTGGATCCTCTTCTTCTACAGGTCTCTCCAGACACAACTGACTGGGGTATATTTCAGCAAAGCCTTGATGCAAAGCTTAAGTACTGAACTGGCTGTGCTCCCTATGGCTTTCAAGGAACTATTTTGGCTGCCTGAATGCAACCTACTCCAATTGAAGGGCACCAATGACTTTTATATTGCCCAGAACTTACACTCACAGGTTGCAGCATCGGTTTTCTCTGCTCTCACAGCGAGAGCAGAGAGAACTGATGTTCTCTCTGCTATGTTTGTATGTTACATAGTTACATAGTTAGTCTGGCTGAAAAAAGACAAAAGTCCGTCTTGTTCAACCCTTCATTCCCTAATACAGACACCTGGCCATAATTTATTTTTCTTCCAAAACAGTGCAACTAAAACCTGACAAATATTTCATGTAAACAGTTTTGTGCATAATGTCTTCATTTGATAAAGGCAGTCAAGAAAAAATAAATAAATAAATTTATATATATATATATATATATATATATATATATATATATATATACACACACACACACACACACACACACACACACACATATATATATATATACACACACACATATACATTTTGTAGTTAGGTAAATATGAAAAAAATTGCGTTAGTATTATGAATTTCTCTATTCAGCCAGCAGATGGCGCTTTAGCTTCCCTTTCACATGTGATGCAAGAAACCTGTTTGCTCAATGACTCATCATAGTAGTGACCCTATCAGCTGAGCTACAGGAGGTTCTTATCAGACAAAAGGGAGTCTCAAAGCAATTTTTCTGCCATGCATTAAAATGTTTATTAGTACAACAAAGGAGATTATATATATATAAAAGAAAATATTGAACAGTGTTACCTGTATTTAAAAGTGTGAGATCTAATCAATGGTGGAGAACAGATATACTTAAAGATAGCAGCATTATTTTTATTTAAGGTGACAAAAATAAAGCAATTAAATCAGTTTTGTTTTGATATATTTCTAGATCAATCTAACATCTTGTTCTTCCGTGTTATAATTCATATCATCTTCACAGTGTTCAGATACACATTTATCAATATTCCTGATGCAAAGGTGAAACAAAATGGCTGCACCATTATTGCCAGACTAGGATTGTTTTCTACTCCCCTGCCCTTAGCAGTGCAAGGTCTGGTTAAGCTTCAGATATTTTAACCACTTGCCTACACTTTCACCTACTTCCTGCCCAGGTCAATTTTCAGCTTTCACCACTGTCGCACTTTGAATGACAATTACGCGGTCATGCAACGCTGTACCCAAACAACATTTTTATCTTTTTTAATTCTTTTGGTGGTATTTAATCACCACTGGGTTTTTAGTATTTTTTAATAAACAAGTAAAAACATTTTGATTAAGAAAAAAAAAAAAAAAAAAGAAGTTCTTGGTTTCTGTTCTAAAATTTGGCAAAAAATACTTGACTATGTACCTGTTGTGAATGAGACTTTAAAGCAAATATGTGCTTCAATGACCCTGCCCCCATCAGTCCTAATCCTCCCTCGCTACTCCATTCAGCCACCCAGAGCAAGGAAAGGAAGTCCTGTGTAGCTCAGAGTCACTCTATTGACTTTGGACCATCTCCCTGCCCCAATGTCACATCAGGTTCATATAAGAGGAAAGCAAATGAATCACATGCTCGTTTATACCAATAATTACCAGGTATTTTGTTCACAGAAGGAAGAGCGAAGAAAAAGGTGAGTAGGCACTAATGGGAGGTGGGTCATCAAAGAAAACCTGTTGCTTTGTCCTGCATGGGCAAACCAATGGATTGCTTTAAAGCTAAACTTCTGGGAAATTTAAAAACTACCCATGCAGTGTGGGTCCCTCTGCATTGTAAGGGTTAAATGCTGATTTTTGTCTAGAGACACATCAAAATGCTGCCAGGGAAAGACAGTGCTTTTCACCTGTAATGCAGAACTGCTGACCTCATGTACATGACAACAACAGAGAGTGACCAATGGCCAGAGCATGAAAGACAAGCAGCTTTATGGGACTGGTTACAAGGAAAGGAGGCTGAGGGAATCAGGGATAAGGACAGTAAAATGTTTCTTTTCAATGGTAGCCTAGTGAAAAATCAGCATTTAACCCTTGCAGTGTAGGAGGAGTTTCACTGGGTAATTCTTTTTTCTTTAATTTCCCCAGAGCTCAGCTTTAAGTTCTTCGGCTTCTTGGAAACATATATACCAGTGCAAAGTCAGAATGTGTCAGTAGGCAATTTAGGTATATTCCAAAGCAACTACACTGTACAAGCAAAACACTTTCTTACTTCTCCTCCAGCGATCCCAAGTTTTCAATTTCATTTGTGACTTCTGCTATTTCTTCTTTAAGTCGCTGAAATGAAAAAAAAATTTTAATATTGTAATGTGTTGTAAGCACTCATTCAAATGTTAAGCAAACTGTACATCCATGTGAAGGGCCATGTTTACCCACATACTATGCTTAGGTGTTAAGTGCATCGGCATAAAGGCTGTCCCCTTCATGTCTATTGGGACAGAGCCACTGCATGGACACAGCCACTGGTCCCAATTTGCCAGCCATGCAGGTTTGGGTGTGTATACCTAAATGAGGACAGTTTGTGCAGGTGGACGTCTTTAAGGAGCTTCCATTTAAAAGTCATCAGTTCACAGGATGTTGTTACAGAAGACCTGGTATTTGTGTAAATGTTCCGTAGTTTAATTGTAAACTATAGTCTTCCTCTAATGCTCTTGTTAAAGCTCATCCTCCTCCGTCCCCCTCTTCTGCCTGTATTAGAAAGTTTTGTTTTTCTTTTCAGAGAGAGGGTACCTATTTATGACAGGTACCCACTCCCACACTGCTTGCCAAGGAAGATGATCCCCCCCATTTCACAACTTCCTGGGGCACGTCACATGTCCTAGAAGGCTGCGGGACCATTGAGAAAGCGCCGTGCCATCTCATGAGTGCACCAAAACACCAAGAAGTCACAGCTGGCTTTCTACAAGCAAGATGAGAGCACTGGGGACCCGAAGACCGGCCAAGAACCAGCCCAGGTAATGAGAGTGCTGGATCCCTGGGCTGGTATGTGTCTGTTTAATAAAAAGTGAGCAGCTACAGTATTTGTAGCTGCTGACTTAATTTTTTTTATAACCAGAGCTCGTATTTAAACAGCAAATGCTTTTTCCTTGCACACATCTGACACAGGTTAAATTGGTGCTTTTCGATGCATGCCCACTAACTGTTTCAAGAATTACCTGCTGATCCTGCAATTAAATTTTGATGTTCTTGCAGACTTCAGTTAGCATCAAATGGTCAGCCCTTGTGCTGAATTTGAGGAGCCGGCCAGTCCTTTACAAATCAGTGATCATTTAAAACTTACAACAGTTGTAGGATATTCCCCCTAAAGCAGAACAACTGATTTCAAATAAATTAGGTAATCTTTTTAAATTCCTTGCTAGACTCACAGGCACCAATGACCTTCTTCCTGAGTCTTATAGCTCTAAAGATCCTAAGATGATGACACTATATACACTATAATAGCAAACAGAAAACCAGAACCCAGATACCTGACATTTAAAAAGAAAGGTTCCACCAAGTGATGTATTTTGGTTTTGTGCAGCCCTAGGCAACACAAAAATTGTCTGCCCCCACGGACACCAACCAACACCACCCCCTCCTTCCACCTCCTGCGGAGAGAGCCTGACATTGACCAACAACACTCCTGCACCCACCCGGAAGAGCCTTCAACTACCCCCCCACTCATCTTCACAGCTCCAGACATCCCCTGGAACAAGAGTCAAGCTCTACATACACCATCAAGCAGTCCAAAGACTCTCTTGGATCCCACCTGGTTCCCATGGTGAGCGTGTCTTCTTTCATACCTTCTTCTGGAGGAAGGTGCTGCCCCCCTGAAAAATGCCGCCCTAAGCAAGTGCCTTGTTTGCCTTGAGGTACATACACCCCTGGTTCCACCCGCATACTTCTTAGAAAGATTCTAGGAATTGACACCTAATCTGGAATCCCTGACTCTAATGTAGGGGGTGTACATATTTTTTTCCATTTGACAGATCTGCATTTCATTCATTTAGATTATGAGAATGAATACACCATGGGGGTTGATTTACTAAAATTGGAAAGTGCAAGATCTGGTGCAGCTGTTCATGGTAGCCAATCAGCTTCTAACTTCAGCTTGACAGAGCCACACCAGATTTTGCACTCTTCGGTTTTAGTAAATAACCCCATATGTATTTTATGTTTGTTCATGTATATCACCTTTATCTGTAAGCACTGTTTGAATGAAGATCTAAGGTTTGTTAAAATATGTTGAATAGGTCAACAATTTCCAACAATTTCTAACAAGGAAACTGATTACAGGTACATCTCCATCTAAGTTCACTGGTGGTAATATGTTAGAGACCAAAAGTACAGCTCCATTTTATTGATGATGTGTTGTTAGTGTTTGGTAATACCACAGAGGACATTCACCTGTATATCTTCCAGCAATTTTTGCTTGCGACGCTGGATGTTCTCAAGTTCCTCTCGTTCTTGCGAGGTCAGGTCACCGGACACTAGCAGGAGATAATATAAATATATTAAAATAAATAATACATGTAACTTTTTCAGTATGATGCAGAACATGCCCAACAATAGAAAAAATGAGTACCAAAAGCACCATGTTTTTTCAGTTACAGCAAGAAAGGTATCTTTTATTCTAACTTACTCAAAGGCATTTTAATTATCTGATTTGTGCTCCCTTGTTGTACATGAAGCATGGTTTAAATATTAGAGCTACTTAAAAAGTGCAGAATCTAAACTAAATGTCCACAAATGAACAATAGAAATGTACCTACAATATAGTGCAATTTTCCACTGCAGAGAAGTAGTGAAAAGCTGTGCACTGTTACGAATTCATAAATGAAGACCAGATGCCTCACTCTGCATTGCCATGTGTCTTGCAGTCCTCAAGCTCCATGTCCTTTTCAGACTTACAACATGTCATGCTCACTCTTGATGTTAACATAGCTTTATATTTTCTTTGTCTCAGTTTGTAAATCTTCAGTTTTCAGTTTCCCCTCCCATTTTGGTTTGCTCTTCACGTTCTCTTGTAGCACCCTCCTACACCCTAGAGGCAGACAGCAATCCCCAGTGGACAGGTTCAGATCTTTGGCAATAGTGAGGTGATGTGTACAGACGGGGGTTAGTCTGTCTTTAGAGCAAATATGGAGTTTATTAATTGTACTAAAATACCTAGGAGAGAGGGTTAGGGTACAGGACACCTATAGAAAGAGGGACAAAGAGTACTTCCAGCCTTTACAGATTAAGAACCTTGAGCTGACCTGGCATTTTATGAATTAAGCCACTGGCTGCAAAGTGCCTGCTGGTTCAGCTATGGTTTCCTCGGGAAGAGGTCACCATACTTCAGTCAAGGACAAGGCCTCTATGGTACCCCAATAAAGCTGGTCATAGATGGATCAACATTCATCCCAGTTCAGCAGCAACCAGCTGAAATTCAATCCATGTGAGGCTGTACCTCTTTGCCAAAAGTCAATCATTAGATCAACTTCTGTCAAATGGGAATGTTGGAGAACATTTGTCGATCAGGGGCTGTAGCCAATTGGCTGTAGTCACTGATCAGTATACTCTGACCATGGAGAGTCTCACTGTAAGAATACCAGCAATTGTGTGGATGGAGGTATATGCTATATGACCAGCTTTACACTGAAATTCCTACATGGTCATTAATCTCCTTAATCTGGCTAAACACTGCTATAATTTTGGCAGTATGTTTTGGTTGATTCCTGCTGGCTTGTCTGAAATTTGAGCAGTGTATGGAGTGCTGGCTGTCTAAACACAATAGCTCAGCTGAAGAAAATAAATCTTTACCTGTATGGCAAGCTTTACTCAGCATCAGGTCTGAGACAAAAGTCTCTTAATAAGCACATGGTTAACCCTTATAGGCAGCAGGCCTAAGAGTTTCAGACACATAACTTACATCCCTCCCCCCAGGCAGAAAGCCCGGGGAAAGACTGAGTTCCCCTAGATCACTGCCAATTATTTATACACTGTGGTAGCATGCACCAACAACATTAGTGGTTGGCTACAGATACATAAAGATTAGTAAGTCAGGTTATTGTAGCCACCCACACTATTGCCTAGAACAGTCCTTAACAGAAGGTAAACAATACCACTGGGCTTAAGGGGAACCTGAGGAAATCTAAAACTAGCAAACAGGCTTAGGGTAACTACACCCAAGCATAACTAAATCTTAGATTGTAAACTCCAAGGAGCAGGGCCCTCCTAACCCTCTTGTATTGAACTGTATTGTTGCTGTATTGTCTCCCGTTATATTGTAAAGCACTGAGCAAACCGTTGGTACTATTTAAATCCTGTATTATAATAATAATAACATTTTAAAAACTCACTCCTGCTTAGGGCAGGGTGGCTACACTGTTTTCTTTATGTCTGCCTTCAGCAACTCCAATATCGTGCTCTTATCTTCACAAATAGCAGCAGTCACTAGATGTGAGCACTCCACCATCCACATGTGGCTTCCATCCTCCCCGCTTTTAAGCTTTTGCTGGCCTTCATTAGGGAGTGAATTATGCTCTGAGCCCTGATGTCTAGCTCTAAGACATGCTGGGGTTTATTTACTAAAGCTGGAGAGTCCAAAATCAGACTCCCTTCTGCATAGAAACCAATCAGCTTCCAGGTTTCATTGCCAAAGCTTCATTGAACAAGCTGAGGTTAGAAGCTGATTGGTTTCTATGCAGAAGGGAGTCTGATTTTGGACTCTCCAGCTTTAGTAAATAAACCCCGCTGTGTCCTGTCTAGTCCTGCCTTCTAGCCTAGTCCTGCTTAAACGGGCCAAGGACTAGTAACAAGAATGTGTATTTGTGTTTCAATGGGGGGGGGGGGGGGGGCTTTAAGTTTGTAGCTGGCTGCAGGAAATCCTAAAACAAAGCTTTGATTTGCATAAAGCCTATCTATAGCCTGCAAGCTTTTTTAGCTGCTACCTAGGTCCAGCCAACAGGAAAAGGGCCCTATGAGGTGCCGACTTTGTGGCTTGTCATTAGGGGTATTTTTTGTGCTGAATCGAGTTCAGGTTTAAAACCTGAAGGAAGTTCTCCTTTCCCCACTCTAAATGTTGAAGAAATGTGCCTGAGGTTTACCTTGAATAACAGCATAATTTATGAATACTTGAACTTGCTGGGTTACCATGCAATCCACCCAGAAGCAACTAGTTTCTGTTCATAACATGCCCCGGTACTTAGAGCTCTCCTACATCCCAGTATGCACACTTTCTCAGGTTTCCATTTTATTTCCTTTCTTTCTTTCTTGTGCTTATATAGCGCTGTCAATTTACACAATGCATTACATATATATTGTACATTCACATCAGTCCCTAACCCTCATGGGGTGTACAATCTGAGGTCCCTAACTCACATTCATACATACACATACTAGGGACAATTTACACAGGATCCAATTAACCTACCACCATGTCTTTGGAGTGTGGGCAGAAACCGGAGTACCCGGAGGAAACCCCCACACAAGCACAGGGAGAACATGCAAACTCCATGCAGGATGCTCCATGGTCGGGAATCGAACCCATGAACCAAGTACTGCCAGGCAGAAGTGCTAACCACTAAGCCACTGTGCCGCCCATTATTTTAAAATAATGACACTGAAATGTTTGAGTATGTAATTACAAGCAAACGCTAACAGTAATCATTTTTCCAAATACAACCCTTACACAGACACATCTGTTGTCTTTGTATTGTTAATGGGTTATCAAAAAAAAAAAAAAAAAGTATTTGTGTTACCAGTAACAACCTATCAATTAAAAAATAAGACATTCCATCTACAATAAATAACCATATATCAATCTGTATCCAATATATATACAGCCAAATATTTATTTATTTATTTATTAACAAAAAATCTGAAGAATATACTTAAAAACATTTTTTAAAATATATTCTTCAGATTTTTTTTTTTAACATATAAAAAAAAAAAAAAAAAAAAGTAATTTTAACATATATTTTTACATATATTTGTAAATGCATTCCAAAAATGTAGATTTATATTTTTAAAGACATACAGTATATTTGAAATGTATTTTTAAAAATATTTTTCATATATTTTGTAATAAAAACGCATTTCAACGTGCATTTCAAATATATGGCAATATATTTGGGAAGAATATTTTTAAATAAATTTTCTTTCATATGGGTTGGCCTGGGCAAACCCTCTATGGGAGGCAAAACTCATTGTCCAGAATTACCCCGAGTTTGTTGCCTCCTTTAAAAGAGTATCTGGTATTCTCGCTCGCTCCACCTCTGCTGCCAAAAGGCTCTTGTCCATTAAACAAAGTACGAGAACTGTTGCTGACTAGCCTAATGAATTCCGTATTCTGGCAGCAGAAGTTGTGTGGAACAATGAGGCTCTTATGGCTGCTTTTTCACCCATATCCTCTCTGATAACATTAAAGATGCGATTGTAGCTCAAGATATAGCTAAGAATCTTGAGGAGTTGATCTCTTTTGCCATTCTTATTGATCTCTGAGAGAGACCTTCCTTTAAGGAGCACTTGGGGAATGTTTGGCCCAAGCTTTGCATTCCTACCCATGCCTCCCTCATCTCCCATGCCTCCTGGGCCCAAGTCCTCCAGTGAAGTAGGGCCCATGCAGCTGGGCTTCACACGTCTCTCTGCTGAAGAGAGGGCCTTTAGGAGAAGGCAGAAATTGTGCCTTTACTGTGGCCAAGCAGGTCACTTATTGTCTTGTCCAATTTGTCCATGAAACACCCACACATAAGGCCCTGTAGGGGACGGACCTTAGGCGGATCTTTGCGTCCCCAGCTATACTCAAAGGTAACCTTCTAGTTCAGTTTATCCTTTCCTGGTCTAAGTTTTCCATTGACACCCAGGCACTAATCGATTCTGGAGCTGCAGGCTTGTTCATAGATAGTGCCTTCATGTTGAAGCAATTGATACCGCTGCAGCCTCATGCCTCCCCACTTGCCATTGAGGCTATTGATGGGAGACCTCTACAGCCTGCTCATGTGACCCATGAAGCCGCTACATTGACCATGGCTGTAGGGGCTTTTCACCATGAGATAATCCAATTCCAAGTAATTTCCTCACCTCATTATCCAGTTGTCATTGGTTAATCTTGGTTACAGAAGAACCTTCATTTTATTGGCAAAGAGCATAGGTTCTGTCATGGTCACTACAATGCGCTTGTTTTCAGAATTTTCAGAAAGAAAGTGAGTAGGGTCTTGTGCACATCTTCAGTCTCCTCTTTGTCAGTGGAGTACCGGGAATTCTCTGATGTTTTTGACTAAGATTAGGCCGATATTTTGCCGTCACATCACCCTTATGCCTGCACAATTGATTTTCAACCTGGTGCCATTCCTCCTCGTGGCCAAGTTTACCCTATCTCTGTCTGAGGATAAGGCTATGGAGGAGTATGTTGCAGATTAACTATCTTGGTGGTTCATCCACAAATCCTCTTCTCCTGCCTGTGCTCGTTTTTTTTTTTTTTTTTTTAAAAAAAAAGACCCTGTATC